TTATGGAAATTCAGAGCATTAAATATATATGGTGCAAATATGCAGTGTTTTTGGTTTGGTGTTTTCAGTTTGATGCAGCCTGTGACTTGATTTAGAGTTTTTTCAACAGCTCAGCAGTCTAATGGCAGTAGGGAAGAAGCTGTTTCGGACGCACCCTATGGTGCTTCTGGTGGTGAGGATGTGTGGGGGCAGGTGGGCTCTCCTCATCCTCCACAGGAAGTACATGCGCTTCTGTGCCCTTTTGACCAGTGAGGTGGTGTTTACAGTCCAGGTGAGGGTGTCTGTGATGTTCACCCCCAGGAATTAGGTGCTGCTGACCACCTCTACAGCTGAGCTGTTGATGAGCAGTGGAGCGTGGTTAGGCCGGTTCACCAATCCCATCAATCCTGCTACCCAAAGTCCACTCAGTGGATGACAAAATGGACAATCTCCAAATTGAATTCTGTCAAAAGAGATTAATACAGTAACTGCTGCGCCATCATCCTGGCTAAATCATGGCTTTATTCATCTCTAAGGGACAATGCTATTACCCTTGAGGGCCTCATGCTATAGAAACACGGAAGTCAGCGGTAAGACTAGAGGTGGTCTACAAATGCTAGATTGGTCTCCAGCTCTCCAGACATCAAGTTTCTGACTTTTAACTGCAGATTTATCTATCCAGTGACTTTAATTTGAAGTTGACTAGTTTCTAGTCTTTGGCTTTAAAATAAGTTAATAAAATGACAACCAGCTTTAGTTGCATTAAGTTGAACTTCTTTACAGCGTTCAACTCCAAGAACACACTTTTGATTAACAAAATATGCAGACTGGACAAAAAGAATGAAGGGCTAATACTAGGCAAGTATCTTATGGAAAAAAATTAATTACTGACAGAACAGCCCAGATGAAGCATTCCTATAACAAGCTGGAACAGAATAATGAATGTCTCCTTAAGGATGTAAACAAGCAGAAAACTACCAAAATGTTTCTGCTACTGTGTTGATGAATGATCAACAGAGGTGTGGCTTTGGCAACCAGGCAGAGGGAAGAAAAGGACACAGCAAGGGTCGTGTAATTGCATGTTTTGCCTTGATCAAAACATGTGTATATCTGATAATTAAAGCCATTGAGTGTTAGATTGCAAAGGAAGGGAGGAAGCAAGTTGTGAGCTCAGGAAAGGAACAGGGAACCAAGCAGAGTCCCTCCTCAAAGCTGTTATTATATCTGGCCTTACTGGAGGAAGGCCTCTGACACAAAACCACCATCAGACAGAGAGGAATTAATGAATCAGCACACATCTATTTTCATTTCACTCACATCCAACAGGGTTTACTTTAGGAGTCAAACCTAAACGACACATTATTCCATTATAACGCATGTTTGTTTACATACTGTCCTGAAAGGTTTTAAGTTGTTTTTACAGGTATTATAAGTGTGAAGCTTTTCTCTCTGCAGCACTGAAGAAAAATGAAACGGTTAATTGTGCCTATAATGAGTGAGCACTTTAAAATGTGCTTGTGGTTAGAACATAGTTAGAGAGATTTTAGTTACACTCATTTACTGTGTTAGCTGGATTGGCTGGAGTGGAAATTGTATCTCAGTGCTAAATGAAGCCCAAAGCTTTAATTAATGGCACGACACAAAAGGAGACAGACATCCGCCATAGTTCACGGCTCTCGTGTTTCAGCCGCTCCGTGATGGAAGTGTCTGGGAAATCCGGGCAGGTGTCAGAAGAAACAAAACCAAACAAGGGGAGTCTGACGCCCTGCTGTAATCAGCTATATGGTCATTGTTATTTTTAAAGGGTGCAGGCTGATCCTATGTCATTACTAACAGGAGCTTTAAGGGTAAATCCAGCAAAAGACACTTTGACACTGTAATGAAAAAGGCAGCACGTATTTCAGTTAGATACCTTTACTGGAATAAACAGCAATTAGTAGTTAGTGGCGGTATATATAAAATATATAGAAAGACAAATAGAATGATACACAAGTATTCCTCTTCAATTTCAGACGTAGTGGTGGCCTAGAGGTTAGAGAGGAATGCATATGCATCTTGGAGAGACTCTTTATGGAAATGAGCCGTGAGTCCGCAGTCTAAGCAGATCGAGAAAAGGTTCCCTTAAAGGTTCTGTTCTTTGGACACACTTATTCACGGTTTTATCAAGAAAATTCCATCAAGTCTTTTATGAATACGTTGAATCACTGTATAGAAGAGCCAAGATGTAGAGACAGGTACAGAAAAAAGGGATCCACCTCCACAGGATATAAGCTAATCCTTCAGCCTTAGAAAGCATGCAGCAGTAAAAGTGATTAGCAGTAAATCTAATTCCTTACAGTAGCAGCCATTCAAAATGGCCCTTCCAGCCGAATGGCAGCCAACTTCCAGCCAAAGGAGTGACCCCCTCCTTCTCCTGGGCATGCATATTTTTTTTTACTGTGACTCGCCTCTTTCACTGGATTACAGGGTGTGACCAGGAAAAGGCGCTTCTCTTTAAGTCTTAATGTCCACAAATAATGACAGAAAGAATATGTTAGTACAAAGATTGATGTTTAAAAAAGGAATCTTAATGGACCAGCCAAGGACCCATCAAGGAAAGTTGGGAAATTTTGAATGGCTGCTACTGTATCTTCTTGAAGAATATAAGTGGGGAATCAAGCAGTTCTTTATTACCTACTAACATTCCTATAACATTCTGCAAAGCCCTTGGTGTTCAAACTTCAGCAGCAATAAAGCAGAAAAGAGATAAAGAAAAACATAAATTACAGTTTTGAGTAACTTGCCTGTTCAACATGGTTATTGTCTTTGTCCAACTTTGATAATGAGCAGTTAGTGCAGGCTAGGGAACTGACATGTTGTGGTTGTTCCAAGTTGACTATTTGACATTAAAAGTTGTGGTTATATCAGTGTAGTGTGAAAAAAAAATTTCCAACACTTTATTATAGTTAAATAAATGGATTTCATTCACTCTGCACTTTATTTTATCTTTTCAATCATACAGCCCTTATTCCACTGTAATCTGCCCTGTTCTGATCTGGGCAGAAAGTGTTCTCCTTACTTACAACAATGGAAAGTAGTCAGAGTCAAAACAAATTACACACACTTTGGTTAAAAAGTAACATGTTATGAAAATACCTTGAGAAAGAATCTGGCTTGTTATGACAATGAAGTATGTCTTGTCTACAAACACCCTCAGGCTGGGGAATTGTGTGGCCTTGCAGGTTAAACAGAGTGAAAAGTTTTTGTAGTTAGTAAATAGCATAAATAAATACATGAAATTTGGCTGTGACTCCATCCTGGAGAGAAACATC